ACCACAACAACAACAACAGCAACGACAACAACAACAACAACAACAACAGCAACAGCAACAACACCACCACCACCACCGCCACCACCACCACCACCACCAACAACAACAAAAAAAAAAAAAAAACACCAACCAACAACCACAACCACAACAACAACACACATCTGCCAACCCAAAAGTTGCAAATGGCTCGAGGTTTACATGCACATAGCTTGGGGTGTTAGGGTTGGGTTGGGGGGCTTGAGGAGTAAGAATGCTTAGGGCTAGCTTGCATTGTTAGGGTCAAGCGCTAAAACCAAACCACTGCACCCTAAACCCTACACCCCAAACGCCTAAACCCCAAACCCCTAAACCCTAAACCCTGCGCTGTGACACGAGAGCCGGCCTTTTGAGGCAGCGCCGGAAGCCGCAATTTCAGCGGATTCTCAGACGCAGCTGCTGGTTTCGGGCAACTTGGGGATTGTAGGACGTTTGGGTGTTTGGGACTTTGAGGTTTCTAGGGCCTTAGGTTTAAGAGCTCGGGATTATAGAGCTTGCAGGGTCAGGCTTTGAAGCTTTCGGGCTTTAGGGCTTCATTTGTTTTAGGGCTTCACCAGCTCTGAGTTCAATTCTGGCTGGAGTCTTGCAACCCTCCTGAAACAAACGGAAGACACATTGGGCTTGTTACTCTCAACTTGGAGGGTTTGACGTGTGTTTCTGTGTAACTCAGGGCTTCAAACGCTTCGCACAGCCGAGGTCGAGATTCTCGATTTGGGAAGATTTGGTGAACAGTATGACAGTACCCCCGTGCCAGTCTACCATTCGTCAAGTATCGTCCTCATGAGTCAAGCATGACGGTCATTCTTTTCACTGCTTCCTGACAAATTACCCATAGGTAGCTTCGGGAGAGGATGTCCACACAGGGCGTGGAACCAGCGGCCGAGGGCTTGGGTCTGGACGAGTAGCTCTGCATCTTAGGGTTCATAAATCAAGGGTATGAGCTTTAAGGGTGTGGATGAACCCTCGGCAGGAAACTACGACAACAGAAACCCCAATTTGCACGAGGAAGGCTCGCATCTTGCGGAATTCACAGAAACGAAGGCACCACTTAAGACTGCAGGAGTCTCGGGCCGAAACTCTCCGACTTCGTTTGACAAAGTGCCTTTTAAGAAGCAACTGCTAAACCCAAAAGAAAAACAGAACAAACATGAACACCTGAATCAAGGCATCGACGTTTCAACAGCTTACATCCTGCACTTTGATCCAAACTCGGAGCTCGGAACCCCTGTTGCCGAACTGAGGCCAGCACCAATGCCTGCATCGATTGGAAACAGCGGAAAGAGCTGAGTAAAGGCTTAGGGTTTCTGACATAGCGGCTTGGGTATTTTGCACATTTGGTAAGTCTTTCTGTGGTTTCGACTCAGGATCTAAGGTTTGGAACTCTGGCGGTTGGCGTAGCACTCAAAACAACCTTCCAGTTGGGATGGAGGGACTCTTGGTAGGCCTGCGCGTTGAAGATCGAACTTGCGAAAACTGCCAGTGTTTTTAGGTTTAGGGCCTAGGGCTTAACTTCATGTCCTCCCAACCACTCCAAAAATTTCTAAATGCTAAAATCCCGCTGCCCTGCAAAACCCTTAGTTGCAACCCGGCTTGCCGTGTTAAAGGGATAGCCCATGATACCCGGGGCTAGGGGCTGGAGCCTAATTGTGCCTCGAAAGGATTTGCCTCTTCAAGTTTCTAGGTGCAGTGCTGTGCAACTCACATTTAAATACTGTAACTTATCATCATCTATATAATTGTTTACCTGCTTAAAAGTTGTGTGCACTGTATACAACCTAGAATAAACCGACATACATACAACCTGCATACATGAGTATATCCATACATACATACCTACGTGCATGCATGCGAATACACTCAACAATACATGCATGCATACGTACATAGATTCATACAAGTACATATATGCAACCACATACTTGACATTGTATCTACTGCCTCCGGATCCGCGCCCAGCTCCAATGCTTCGGCCAGCAGCTCTGGGGCACCTTCGAGGGAAACCGTGAAGGAGAATTAAAAGAGCAGGGTTTAGGGATTAGGGCATTGGCGGATTTGGGTTCCGTGCGGGGTTTAAGGGGTCAAAACAACCTACTCAACGCAATGGTGGTGATACCTTAGTGATGGCAATGGCAGTAGCAGACACTGGGAAGCGGTCAAAGTAGCCAGAACTTGTACTGGATGACCATGATGATGCTGCTGATGATGATGATGATGCTGATGAATCAAGCTGATGCATTCTGCAGGGTTCCGTTCCGGCCACATTATTTCACATTACATTATATCATTCTATGCTAGATGGTCATTATTATTCGATTATGTTATGCGATATACTATACCGTATTATTCTATCGTATCTTATCTTATACTTTTGCTACATCGTACAGCGCTATACTAGGTTATACCATTACCGTACTATAGTATCTGGTACGTTGCATGAGTGTTAAACGTGCTCCCGCTTTCACCTGGGGGAGCTTCTGCCGCCGCCGAAGCCAAGGCAAACGGGATCTCCTGGCCAGAGACTTTTCGGCTCAGATTACAAGCGAGTATGGTATATTGTGGTATGTTTTTTAACATAGTATATTGGACTAGATTAGGATATACTGAAGTATTCATAGTCTATGTGTTTCTTGGCAGAGTATACTGTGGTATGCTATAGTATATCAGTTATATCAATGTAAGAATTCATCGTATATTATGGTATATCGGGACCAGGGGCTTGAGTGAGGCTTAAGCTTAACGGCCTGGGCTTCCGGTATCGTAGGCCCCGGCTTTGCTGGGTTCAGGTTTGAGGTCGTTTGTGGCAGTGCATGTCGTGAAGGAACCCAACGTGTAACAGGCCTACGGACATTTGAGACAGTGACCTATAACAGCGAGGGAGATTTGGGGAATGCCTCCTGGCAAACCGAATGACCTAAACATGGAATAGTCGGAGTGGGGTTAACTTAGCTTTTTGGGGTTTATGATTCAGAGCGGAAGCGTCCGACATTGCGCAATCAAGTTTATAGCAAGCTTGCCTGTCACCCGTAGTAGCACCGCAAAGCTCCAGGCGTCTCGCGACTTCCGTGGGGCGCACCGGTTGGTTTGGGGCTTTGACGGGGATGAGCACAGCTGCCTGATATACTGGAATTTGCCAAAATTTAATACAACACAGTATAAATGTATCACTGAGTACCATACAGTACCATAAGATTAGCATAAATAACACAACTCACTTTAGTATACGTAGTTCGATGTACTATGATTTGTTCTACAAGCAGCCAAGCACAGGGCAGCAGCACCGCAAGCGGTGCCAGGGCTGGGCTGGACACACAAATCTGCAAAGAGCACCTCGCGGCTTCTCTAGGACTTGGGCTCTTTCGCCGAAGTTTCATGTCGAGGGCCTCCAGGTCTGTAGTTTAGGATCTTCATTTCGATGTTTGCATGATGTTGAAGGGGCAAAGGGAGGGCATCCTGGGAAACAGAGGCCCTTCACCAGAAGCGCTGGCCGTAGCTAGGCGGGATTCGGGGTGTGAACTGGCCCTGGTGGACGGCTGCCAACCCAAACGGCGCAAAGCTCTGCCTGTGGGTGTAACGATGCAGAAAAAATCATTCCAGAATGCTATGTTAGATTGCACGAACGCTACAACATCTTCGTTGCCGCAGGACCTTAACACTGAAGAGCCGCATACTTTCTTCAAGGAGTCCGAATGCAGCTTTAGGGTTTTATAGAGGTTCGAAGAGGGTTTCAACTGTCCAGCATTCTAGAATGTACCCCAAAACTAGCATAGCCCGATGCATCTCCCCCCACCTCTGACCAAGGACATACCGAGAGGCCTCCACAAACGGAAGCGCATTTCGATTGGAAGCCGCTCATGGACGAAGGCGAAGAGCTCTGGCCAAGAAAAGTTCCTGGCCACATCAGGACCAGACTCTGGGCGTCTTCTAAGGTTTACGGAGATGGGCTCTCAGATTTAGATTTCAGAGCATAAGGATTGAAGCTTCAGAGCTCCTGCGGCCTTTATCCTGTCGCTGTTGCTGCCGGTTTTGATGTGGATGTCATACTTGATGTCATACTTACTGCCACACTCAGATGAGGGAGTTTGCTTGTTGTTGGCAGATTTAAAGTGGGTAGAACACCCGGGCAATAAACCCGCACCCGAACACATCCCAGCCCATGAGCTGGGAGGCAAGAGGAGGGACCGGGAGCCTCAGCCAGCGCGTCTGCCCATCCTCGTTGCTCGGAAGAAGCACGCCCCGCCGCCACAAGCCACCTGGGCTTATCCGTGTATTCAGAACTGCATAAGACTGGGGTGCATCCGGTCAATAAGTGCCCGCGAGGCTGTAATATAGGGGCCATGATACTATAATTATCATAAGGAATCCCCTCCAAAAATAGTACCGGTAATTCTTTAGGCCCCTTTTGTTACACTTTTGGATCCGAGGCCGACTCCACCCTCGACTTTCCGGAGCGTCTTTGGGCCCAAAAAGGGCTTCAGGTTGGGGGCCTATCGAGTTTGGAGCGTGTTGGCCTGTAGGCCGGGATCCGATACGGTTTAGGGTTTAGGGTTTAGGGTTTAGGGTTTAGGCCGAAAACCTCAGAACACCTCTGTGCAACCCCAGCCGAAGCGCAGAACTTCCAACACACCCACCAGGCAAGGGATTCTAAAGTAGAAACCCGAACCTTGCACGCATGAACCGAAGCCTGTAATCCAACCTCAATACAGCTTGTCCGTAGACCGCATGCCTTCCAGCATCTGTCTCTTCTAGCCCTAAACCCGAAATCCCTAAACCCTAAACCCCTAAACCCAACACCCTAAAGCCCAAAAAGCCTTAAACCCGACACCCCACCAAAAACCTACACAATCAATCTCTGGTTTTCTCCGAGCCACTCTCGGCCACCGACTCCAAAGCCAGGGAAAGCATCGGGGCTCCGTGCTTTCCGGGGATTTTCGGCCTCAAGCGATGAAGGGTACATGGTGGGTTTTCTGTTTAGGGCTCCAGGGCTCTAGGGTTTGGGTTTCCCATGTTTTGTGCTTGAGGGTTTGGTTTTTGAGGTGGTCTGCCGGGCGGAATTTGGACTGCCTACAGGACATTCGTGGGTCGAAGCCAAATGAGCACCGAACGAGATGGAAGCCCGACAAAAATTCCAATCAAAGCACCACTACCAATTTGGCATTGTGCCCTGCTTGAAAGATGCTCCTGGCTACACAGGCGCACATCGAAATCGGAACCAAGAGAGACTGAAGGGCCTGTGCCAATTCCAACTCCTGGAAAAGGAATGTTTCACCCATCGGGTGTAGTCTTTGTGGGGCCCACAAGATGAAATGAGGGCTTTGCTTTTCAAGATTCAGCGTTTCTGGTGTGGGGCTTGCAGGGCTCAAGGCTCGGGTTGAGAGAGCCGGCTCTCAAAAAACTGGGACGGTATTCCAGTAGGAAAAGGCCTAGAAGAAAGCATCTAACCCTCGACCCGAATGGCCAAGGTCCCGGCAGAAGTGCGAAGAATTGCGTCAAGCGAGAGGCCATGGCAATTGCCTGCTGGCTGTGGCTTTGATGGCTGCTCTGGCTCAGATTTTACAGGTTATAAACACTGAAATACCCTGACGAAACCCTTAGGAGCCCCTGTGTGGGATGTCACAAAGGGACTGGGAGTGTTTCGGGCTGAGAGCAACCCGGCAACCCGGAGCTCTCAAACAACCCACAAACCCTCACGCAGGCCAAACCAGTCCGAGAAAGCCAGAAGAAGACACCCGAAGGGAAACCGGCAGCCCCTTGATGGATACTCGCTTTGGAGATTCTTTCCTCAAGTCAGAAATTTCAGGCTGCAGCAGCAAAGGGAAGCCTTACCTGCATACATGCCTATCACTACTGGAGTGCTGATGCGTGAGTATGGTGAGCAGCAGTACCTCAAGTTCTCAACCGTGAATGTAGGAGTCGACCGACACAGATCGTGACGAGGCAAACCAGTAAGAGCGAAGGTGAGGTAAAGGGCTGTGAAGCGTACGAGCCCTTAAAAGCAAACAAGACCTGCCCGCGACCAAACAGCATCCGCCGACAAACAAAATATGTGTCTGCAATCCGCCTTCCACATCCTCAAAAACAGAAGATGCCGTCAGTCATATCCGAGAAAGACGTGCTCAAGGATCCCAAACCCGAAATAGAATGCACATTTCAGCCAAATAAGCCAGATGAGCACAATTGGGTTGATGAGGGGTTCTCGTATACGACGCATGTTCTTGGATCCTGTATACCCCTTTCAGCACTAAACCTTCTCAAGCTCTAAACCCTAAGCCACGATAAACCCCAAACCTTTGCAGCGCCTCCTCATCATTGTGCACACTCTCGACTTCCGGCAGAGCCTGGCAATTAAATCCTGCGACCCGACTTCCTACGCTGCAACATACGACAGTTACAAGCCATCATTCACCGGTCTCGTGGCCAAGGACAAGGCTGGAGATCAAACCAAACCTGGCGGCAACCTACATCTGGCAACACATTCGGCCTACGTCCCGAACCCCTATCGGCCTCTGCAGCGGCTTTTGCTTCGGCAGGCCTCTCCAAGCAGGGATGGAGAAAACCCATGCTTTCTGGTGCCCTGATTCGCGCCCTTGCATACGATTATCAAACATGGGAATCTTGCTGGTGTGGCAACTGGTAACTAGAACAAGTTTCCGTGTCTGAATGCCCGCAATGTGGGGCCAGCAATCTTGTGGAGGGCCGACCGGTGCTTGTCAAGTCCTGTTTGGGCATGGTTTCGATTTCGAAAGCATGACGCTCAAGCACTAGACTCTCAAACGTTCATGCATCAGACTACTCCGAAACTTCGGGATTTTGCGTTAAGCTTGGCATTTCAAGGATTACGTCTTAAGATTCGCTCCTTTCACGGCTTTAAGGGTTTAGTCTCAGGCTCAGGGTGCTCTGTCAGTATGGGCCAAAATCTAAAGGCCCGGGCCTCCTTCATCTCCAGGGGTTTAGGGTTTAGGGTTTAGGGTTTAGGGTTTAGGGTTTAGGGTTTAGGGTTTAGGGAATCTCCGCACTCGAAGCTTTGATTTAGCTCCAAAAGCAAAAACCTAAATCCAAAACCGAAGCCCTTGCCCCTTTAACCTTCAAGCCTATATCCCGAACCCTTGAACCCTCAAGCTCAAAGCCCTGAACCCTCCGAGCCCCAAAACCCATAGCCGTAAACCCTTAAACCGCAAAGCCCCAAATCCCAAACCCGGATGCCTGGAGACCCAGGAGAGGCCCCGCTTTCGGGAGACCGGCGGCTCTGGCACAGCGCCTTGGCTCAACAAATCGGAGCTCTGTGGGCTGAGAAATTATCAGGTTTCAACGTGACCTTGTTTCTGGGCTGGAGGTTCAGGCCATGGGGGGCAATCGAATTTAGGACTTTTCGCGTTGAAGTCCTAAGAATAAGGGTTCATGCGAGGTAATGTCTGCACTCCCGGTCCGGGGCCTCATGTCTTCGAGGCCTATAGGGCTCAGGGCTTAGATTTCAGGATTGGATATTTCATCATGCTCATGCGCTGTAGGGCCTGCAGGTTGAGGGCTTCGAGATCTGGGTCAGGCACTTAGCACGTTTTGTGGGTTTGAGGCTTACAGGGCCTAAAGTTGAAGGTATGAGCTAAGGCAGCTAAGGAATTGGGTTTCGGGGTGAGCAAGGCCTCCTAAAGTGTTCTTGATTCTGTTTGGCACTTCAAAGGTCTCAGGTTCTTATGGCTCGAGGAGCTCCTAGAACCGGAATCTTGCCTCGTGCAACAATGATTCTCCGAGTGGCATCTTCATCTCATGTTCAAACAATCATCAATATCATCAACATCATCACCATCATCATCTTCAATGTAGCAAACCCCAGGAACCAGATTGAGAGTCGTACTCGGCTGCGGCTTTTCTTCGTGGCGACGCCTCAGTGAAGGGGGGGGGGGCTGTTTTGCGGCTCGATTCGGAGCCTGGCAGCCTAGAGCCCTAGAAGTTCACACGGGTCCAACGTATCTGTGGCAGCCCAAAGGCCGAATGATGCCTTCATCCCAACACAAAGATTTGCCGAAAGATTTGTTGTCTGAAAGCTGGTGTAGTGTAAGCCAAATGACAGAAACCCAACCTGGCAACTCGAGCATGGGTTTAGAGCAATGTTGCAACATGCGGTGTGCTTTCCCGATTCTTCACTTGATGTTATGTTGCATGATGGATTCGCCGTTTCATGCAAGTACGTGTGCAGTGGCAATGGTTGTGACTGAAGAACTCAGTTGTCCTCTCGACTGTGGTAGCAACAGGATCTACTGAATATGTGCGTTAAGTCGATGAAGCCCAGCCAACTTCGTAGAATGTGAAGATCCCCATCTAAGCCCTGCATAGCGATCCATGCCGATGTGGGTGGATTGAAAGCATTAGTGCGCAGCATGTCGTTCGGTCTAGCTGCCGCTAGCTGCCCAGCTTGGAGGATGTTTCTTTGGCCGGCACACGTTCACGCACTACACAGAGAATTGCCTAGATGATGTCCGGAAAAGCTCATACGTCCAAGGTATCGAGGGCAAGCCAATCACCGAAAATGAGATCCACAAACGTCGTCCCTCCTCGTCGCTGCGTCCTTCCCTCAGGCAAATTGCTGCAAAACGTGGTCAGACAGTTGCATCATGAGCATTATAAAAGAGGGGGGGGGTCGGGCGAGCATCATGAGCATCAGAAAAGCCCGCTGATTCCTCCTCGTACGTGCAACCGTTGCTTTGAGACGTTTATCATGAACTGAACACGTCAGCCCCGGCCGAAACTCCTACAGGGAGTGCAACCCTTCTTTGAGACCGAATTTCAAGGCCTACCCTAGTCCTGCAAGTACATTGATTTTTCTATGTACATTGAACCTGCCTGTTTAGACAGGGTCTGGGGTGTATCGGTGTAAGTACACAGAGATGTCAGCAATACCGAACTATCCGAATCGTAGAACTGACACAAAATGTTTCTTTCTATTCTGGTGAGATCCGAAAGCTGAGCTTAAATATTCATCCAGGAACATTAAGATGCATATGTTCAGGGATTGAACGTATCATGCCTTGTGCAGGTTTCTGGTCGGCTAGTAAGAGTCGACAGCTTTGCTTGCCCCCAACGAAACTCGTCACTGACGATTCATGCCTTTGCACAAACCCTCGACGTCACTCAGCCCTTCAACTCAAAACCTGGAAGGGCATAAATCCCACCAGCACATTGCAACTAAAGCCCAATCCTAAAACTCGGCATCCGAAGACATTGACTTCTCAGTATCCCTGCCTTCCTAGTTTAGAATTGCTACGATCTGTTACAAGGCATGAAAGTATCGTGCAGGATTGCAAGCTTCGAAAGGCACTTGCTAATTGATGCCAAAGCCCAGCAAGCAGACTTCGATGGGTTGAGGTTTAGGATTGAAGCCCCAACCCAAGATTACCAGGGTTCATCACTACCAGGTTAATCAATCGGGCACAACTATCTATCTTCTAATGCTGACGTGGGAGACACCGACCATAGGGAGACCCGCAGCATCGGCAACACAAGACACAAAGCTAAATACAGCCTGGGACCGGACAACATTTCGGCCTTCTTCTTTCGGAACCATCGTAATCCTTATCGCGTCATAGTTTCTATGCTGGACACCACAGATGTTAGCCAAATTCTCAATGCGCCAGAACAGAAACATCTACAAGAACCTTCATAAACATGCTTACGGGTCCTCTGCACTTCGGGTCAACCCAATGCCCCATGAAGATGATATGTAGTCCCCCAAACCAAGCCCGACATCTTCGTCGTGCGCCCAACGTTGCCTCCTTCGTCGAGCCAGTTTAGGGGTGGCAACGAAGGAGCACAACTCCAGACCGCCCAAAAGCAGCCTCTATCTACACAAAAGCCAAAACTACGAACCTACCTGCACACTGACTGCACCCAACGGTTCAACCATGCTCAGGCCTTATACTCCGTCGTTTCTGCAAGCATACTACTGGACCTCGGGAAGCTCTAAACACTAAACCCTGAGGCCTACGACACTGACAGAGACACCTTGCAAGACAAGGGGCTGCTTGAAAGCTTCGACGAGCATCCACCCTAAAGCCCATTGAACCTGCAACACAGCTTTCCGGGGGTTGTGACATGCTTCTTGTAAGGGACTATATCGGGCAGTGGGAGAGCCCGCCTGGTCGCACTATCGGACACATATGCATATATATATATATATATATCCATGATCTGCGAGGAAACCGGATGTCGCTGAGTGAGTTTAAGCCGAACAGCAGAGTATAGAGAAACCCGAAGCCTTAGTCACCTCCGTATTGATTGCTTCTGCTTGCTTTCGTGGACTGGTTAGGATGCCTCAAAAACACTCAGCCGACTGCCCGGCGCAAAAAGGCATAAATCAACCTTGAACACAACAGTCAAGACAATTGAGGCCCTAAACCCCAGACCCTCCGGCCCACCTGGCCTCGAGAACTGGCTCTTTGAGATGCTCCTGATGCTGGAACTTTGGGTTTGGCGTCTAGGAGGAGCTGAAGGTGCTGCGATCGAATCGGTTTGGCTTTAGGTGCTTTGGATTTTGAGACACGGGGATGAGGGTATACACTATATTAGGGCACCCGAAGAATAAGCGAATAACCGCATGTCCGGATGCAAGAGCTACCGCCCTTGAAGCCCAAACCCAAGCAATGAGTCTATAGTCTACCATAAAGTTTGATGACGAGTTTGTGAAATAGGCGCACGCTGTGATCACGAGATTCTGAATCGCTCCCCTCCCCCCCGGGTTGTAGGGTTCAGGGCACACGGATGGCAGTAGGCCGAGGCAGCAGACCATAATTTTCCAAGCTCCGAACCCTTATGGGCTCAGAACCACGGCCGGGGACCCACACTTGTATGGATACTGAAGCCTTGAGACCATACAAGCCATGCAGGTTCACGTAGCATACTGTACTGGCCAGGCCATCTCAACGAACGCCACAACCCCTAGTACACAGAAGTCTCTTCACTGCTAACTTGTGAACTTGTGAAGATTGATTGCACTTCATTTCAACCTCCTACAACCCTAAACCCTACTACCCTGAAGTCCTTAGGTGCTACAGCAGAAGCTGGCGAGCGGTCTGTCGGACTCTAAACTCTGAAGAGCCTACACCAAAAACCCAGGAAGCCTATAAACGGGTCGAAAGGAAAACCGGAAGTCCCCACACCCTAAGCTTCAAAAGCCCAAGACCCATAAACCTCTAAGCCCCAAAACCCTGAAAGGCCTAGGCCGGCCAAGATCCATAAAACCTTTCAAGCATGTCAAGACACTAAAACCCAGCCCTTAAGCACCCTGAGTCGATCTCAGGGCCATGGCTGAGCACCATGCCTCGAAAAAGATGTGACCCAGGGTCAGGAGCCAGCCACAAAGAGGCTCAATGACCACCTGTTTTCGAGGGCTTTCTGGGCTGAAGGCTCTTGGGCTGGTATGCGCTTTGCTTGGGGAACCAACATAGAGACACTTGCCAAAGCCGCATATTCCGTGGGGTGCCAGGTCTGTCTGTGTAACACATGTATGTGAGTTCAATGAACTTATGTTTGTGAATCTACGTGTAAGTGTTGCCATGGACGCGTAAATATACTCCATAACGTACATGCTCAAGTAACGGGACTTGCGACGGACAGGCTCAGTAGTGGTGGACATTTCATGGGTGGGGCTCCTTGTAAAGCCATCCCCCTTCACAGCGATGTCGATTTATCTGTTGAAGGATCGTTGGCTTCCACTGATAACCGAGATACGTGGCAGATGGCATAGGGAGAGTGGAACGATGCATGTTATGCTTGTTAAAGCAGTTGTGGGTGGTGAAAAAACTTAAGGATGCAGAAACCTTAGGACATCAACCCCAATCATGTCACTTGTTCAGGGCGATGTCGAAGTGTGGATCTTTGTGGGCTCTGCGCCTTATGCTTGCTGAACTAATCGCAGGCCAGTCAGATACGGCCAAACAAACTCAGGCAACTCCCAGTGGTCGGGCTGCGGCACAGGGTTCATCTTTACACATTCACAACACACATTTAGGGCATGTTTGTTCTTGCAGTAGCGCTTCCTGAGCATGGATCCTAATTTTGGATCTTGCTTCTTTTGGTTTATTGATGCTCAGATTTGTCGCTGCATCTCAGAGGTGGAGACCGAAGCCATAATGTGAAACACTTTGGTGAGCTGGGTCTGTCGAATGAGCTACTTCACGGAATGGTCCAAAGTCAGGGTGTGCGGATGTTCCTGGTTCAGTCTCTAGTCGGCCCCTCAGCTAGCAACTAGCATCTTCATCCTCAAACCGCAAAGCCTTAAGGAATCACATGCCCGTGGCACATGCGCTTGGGTCAATACAGGGTTCTTTGCTCAAACTTGTTGAGTCTAGCTCCAACTGGTCTCCGTAAGAGCTCTGTGATTCGAGAGGTTTAGAGTTGAGCGTTCAGGGTTCAGGGCTCTGGGCTCTTACTCTAGACCAGTGAATGCGGCAAGAAACTGGCTTACCCTAGACCCTGCTGGAACTTCACATCCCGAAGCAGACGCCCGTGCATTGATTCCTGTATTATCCTGGGACCAGAATTTCAACCTACTGTAAGTCCCCAAATGCACATCCTTACATACAACACAAATTGATACAACATAACGCACTACGAGAAATTGCAGTGAGCTGTGCAGCATACAATGTCGCTCATGTGGACCGTTTGCCCATCACTTCTCGGCTATCTTCTTGGCGCAGAACTTCTTCAAAGCTTGCTTGAACTTCTGTGCCTTGACAAATACAAACAGTTCGGGTCCCATCTTATCGTATATGCGGTTCGGCAACCACAAGACATGAACAGAACAATTGCCCACGTGATCATGTCAACAAAGTCCCAGCTGCCCCTGGGCTTCACAGCAGCACTGCCTAAGTCCCAGCGCCAATATGCCCGCTCTTGACAAACTCGTTTGTTCGCAAGATTCCGCTACTGTTTCCCGGTTCCCGGAAGAATAACATCCGAAACAGCATTCTAAGACTCTGTCTATTATAAGTGTGAATATGTGTGTGTATATATACATATACATAGTTCTACACAAGTCTACACGGGCCATAATAAGGGAAAACAATTTTTATGACATTACTAATCATTCCGACCGGCCTTGACCTGGAAGGGACCCACGTGTAGGAACCCTTCCAATTTGGTTTGGTGTTCTTCGTTTTCGCCCTCCAGGACGGCAAGCCGGACATCCGAAGACGCAGGTGTCTAAAACTCTGAAACCAATAAGAAAGTTTTTTTTGAGCAGCGCTTCCACAACCCACCCCTGTCTCAGACTTCAAAACACTCTCTGAAGAGAACGGCCCAAGCACCGGGCAAAGCCCATCCTAGTCTCCAGGCCACACGATCCAAAGCCCCAGCTCCAAATCACGAAGGCCGTCGACCCTCTAACACGATGCCGGTAAGTGTCGTTGGCAGTGCCAGCAACGAGTTCTTGCCTCGCAACAGCGCTGCAATGACGCACTGTTTAGGCAAGGTACCGTTCAAACGCGCAGGGTCCGGGGTTTGGTTTACGATTCTTGGTTTCTGTTCGGGATTTGGAGTTAAAAATGTTTCGCATTGACAGTTTGGGCTGCGGGCATGGGGTCTTGGAGCTAGGCTTTGGGGTTTGGGACTATAGTGACTATACCACCACTTCGGGCCCTAGTTTTAAATCGAAAGAGTAGAAGATTCCGGCGGACTCCAAGGCAACATGTTTGTGGTACTCACAAAACCCGCGCAAACTACGCACGATATCTCCTTGCGGGGGCAAACTTACATCCGGGTTTCGGGCACAAGGCTTGGGTTTAGGGCTTTTTTGGAGGACCCGAACAATCCTAAAACCCGAAAGCCCCACACAGATTGAACTCTGCCCCTGCTCTCTTGAAACACCACTTATGGCCCGGCAAAGGCCATCAGCAAAAGCATCGCTCGGGCTTGGGAATGCTACGTGTCTGTTTAGGGTTGAAGAGCGAGGGATTTCGACTTTCGGATGTCCAGCCAAAGGCTTTGTGCTAGTCTGCTCGTATTCTGGCCGCAGATTCAGCAAACATCCCTAGCACAACCGGAGACGGTAGACATCCCAAGCTCAACAGCATGTCAAGCCCGAGCCCCCAAACCGCCAAGGAACCAACACCAGACCGTAGTCAACACGGTTGCAAAAAACCATTAGACCCTGCAGTTGAAACCCAAATATACTAAATCATATTCATCTAAACCCAGAAACCCTAAACCCCAGAACTTTATAGGCCCAAACCCCTGGAAAAGTTCGTCCAAACTCTGTAAGCCTGAAAACTCCCCAAACCCCTCCCTCCCCCTCTCTCCCCCGTGCCCCCAAAGCTGCTCAGGCCGGTACACAAAGAGCACCTTTGTTTTCTCCTGAAGGGAGACAAAGCGGGACGGACCCCAAAACAAACACAGCCACACACACTTGCATTGCCGGTCGGTGCCGGTTGTCTGTTCCCATCTCCTTTGTTCTTTGTCTTCTTCCATCGCAAATCTTCTCAATCATTGTTGCACTAAAAGTTTTATTTTACACTCATGGGGAGCTTTGTAATAGACCTCTGCGCTGCAACAACGATTTGAATTAGATAGATACACAATCATCTGAAGATTATCGTGGCCTCTAGGCTTATTCTATCAAACAGATGACCAAAGCTTAGCAGTGAAACTTGTAGCAGGTACACACGGTTGATCAGACCGTGCATCACCAGGGTATCCAGAGTGTCTTCGTTGATGGCAGACTCTGGACCCTGCTGCCATCCCCTGCTCATCTTGTCACTTTCGCACAGCGAATTCTATCATCCACTGTCAGAAACTTCGCTAGATGCAACTTGAAGTCCTTAGAAACAGGATTCCCACACACACACACACACACACACGCGCGCTTGCGCGCTTGCGCGCGCGTGCACATGAATACATTAAAAAACCTGTGAAAGCTTTGCATGCTGGTTCAATTCCAAAAGCCTGCCCGAGAAACAAGAGAAGTAAAGAAGCATGCGCTGAGGCTTCCCTTTACTGGTTCCCTGTTGGGGCTATATTAAACGTGATCCATGTTCAATCCTTATTGGGTTTGATTACAACAAAAATGAAAAAATGTATCCAGCAAGGACCTGGAGCGCTGAAGCTTAGCCTTGCTTCACCCCCGAAACCCTGGAAAACGAATGCCTCAGGTGGTCAAGCCAGCTAGTGTACGAAAATAGACTACAAGAAACTAGACGATACTACAGTGTAATACGGGACACCTCTTCTTCCGGCTGTTTTGAGTCTCTTTCCCGGCTACTTCTCTCTTTGGGTCTTTGTCCGACCTGCCTGCTCTGGTATCCGAAACCCTCAGCCTACGCCCAAAGTCATCGCAGTCCTTCACAGCGGCTTGCGGAAATCCTTCCCCGGACGCCGCCACCGTGGCCCAGGCACCTGGCGCGACAGGTCGGTTTAGGGTTTCTCGGGTTTGTTGAGAACTGGGCCTAAGGCTTCAAGGCTGTAGGGCTTTAGGCTTTTAGGGCTTGGGGAAGTCTTTTTTGGGAGGTTTCGGATGCTTGCGGCAATGAGCCATTCCCTTGCGTTCAAGAAGACGGGGAGTAGGGTTGGGATCCCTTTAGCCCAAAAACCGCAAAGCCCTCAAGCCTCATAGATGCAAAGTCCTAACCTGAGGTTTTATGAGGAGTCAGACTTGTGGAATTGTAACTCTTCTCTCGGTGCATGAGAGTTTCCACTTCAAGCTTCGGTTCGGGTATCAATCTTCTTGAGGGTGGCTTCCCACGAGAGTTTCGGGTTCACAGGTCCTGCAACAAGGGCCAAAGCGAGTCTAGGGTCTAGCTTTCAATGACCGTAGACTCGTGATTCACACGGCTCCCTAAGTATGGATTCTAAGAAGCTGTATTGGTTTGGCTCTCAAGAATGGGGATTTTTTGAGATTTATTGATCGATGGCTCGTCCTAAGTCCTAAGATGTTAAACCCCGGTCCAAATTCCACGATCGACTTAGGACCTCAGCAATCGCCAGACGAAGTTTAAGAGCTTGAGGATTTGAAGTTGAGAAATCAGCCTTGTGGCGTTTGCCAGCCTTTACAACTAAGCACCTCGAAATCCCAAGCGCAGACAAAGTCAACCCCAACATTCAGAGCAAACCTCTTGGACCTGAATCTGAGTATGGCCTCTCGTGCTTGCTGAGGGCTCTTAAACTTCATCACAAGCTCTAAGCTTCACCTACCTGCACCCTAGCGAAAGCAATGCAGCATGACGCTTCACAGCTCACACCCTCAACCCTCCCTGCAACTCACGTTGCTGTGCGCCTGCAGCAGCAGGGGGGAATGCCGCGAAGAGAGCCCGAGCGGCCGGCACAAGCACGCCCAGAGCACTGGGAGGCATTTGGCCTCTGCTCTGTAGCTTCTGTAGCACTGTAGGGCCTGGTTTAAGAGTCTAGGATCATGGTTTAAGTTTTCAGCTTTTGGGGATTGGGGTGCGCTTTCGGGGGCCGAGGGTTTCAGGTTTAGCCATCACTTGCCGAAGGTTGAATCTAGGGGCCGTAAGTATCAGATCGGGCTTTGGGTGCCGCGGCAGTGTTAAACAAGAAGCATAAGAC